CCCCCACTGCATTCGATTCTGCCTTTTCAGAGTGTACCCATCCTCACAACTGCACAGTCTGTGCCTCCGCTCCTTTTCCTCTGGCTTCCAGCCTGTGCGCTGATCTTCCCGCAGCTAAACCGCCCCACCTCGTAGTCATGCTCTCTGGGTCTGACCCTATGCTAGTCCTTCACGTGTGGTCATCCCAATCTTCATAGTCACCTGGTAAAGGAGACGGTGGGGTCCCTGCTCTGAAAATGAGGCAGCACTCTGGAAGAGGTGCTGAGATGCTGGTCTGTGCTTTCAGAGCCAGCGTGTGAACCACACACCCTTTCCCACCCAGGCTCCTCTCCTGACTGTCTCTAGAACTCAGCAAGGCCAGCACCCACTCTCCTCACCATCGCCCCACGCCAGCTCCTGCAGCCTCGTCTTTGTACCAGAGTCCCTGTCAGCCCTACAGAAAGCGCTTCCTTTCTCCCCTCCCCCTTCCAGTTGGTTCCTCATCCCCTCATCCTGTCCCCACCATCTCGCTGCCGTTCATCCCCTTGTAATGATAGTAATAGCAGCGATGATGAGGATAACAGCAGCTCCTGCTAATTGAGCGCTTGTTAGCAGAAGGCAGCATTCATTATCTCCTGCACACAACTGCCCCGCTGGAGGTACTATCTCCTGGTGGTGGTGGTTATGTGCCGTGGAGTCGGAACCGACTCCACGGCACATAACAACAACAACGCTAGCAGAGCTCCTCTTATTATCTCATTATTGTAAAGTTCTGTCGAGTCAATTCCAACCCATAGTGACCCTGTATAGGGTTTCCAAGGAGCAGCTAATGAGCTTGAACCACCGACCTTGCAGTTCAAAAGGCTTTGCAGTCTGACGCATTAACCCACAGCACTGCTGTCTCCTAGAGGGGAGGAAAGTGGCTCAGAGAGGTCAGGTGACATACCTTCGGCCACACGGTAAATGACCAAGCCAGGGTTAACCCAGGCTGTTCTGGCTCAACCCCCTGTTCATCCCTGCCTGCCTCCCTGGCTTGGGCAGTATCTTCTCTCACCCTGGATCCTCCCCTGCTGCCCTCTTTTCTCACTGGTCTGCATATGGCCCCCCAACTCTTAAAACACAGCTGTGGTCTTCTGCCCCTTTCCTGGGACAGCCTGCAGGGCTCCTGGTGTCTACAGACTCCGGCCTTCTCCCTCTGTCCCTGCTCAGTCCCTGTGTTAGCAACATTCAACTCCCTCCTCCCCTCACATCCTGTGAGTGCACCTGCCTCAAAACACACACACACATTTCCTCCTGCTACTTGCTTGCTCAGCGAGGCTGCACCTGCAGGCTCAGGTGAGCATTGCCTTCCCAAGTGCCATAGGGCAGGGCCCCAGTCTGGTTCCCTTCTCCATCCTCAGAACCCAGCCCAGGGCATGGCAGGCGGTAGGCCTTGGGGGTTATCAGGCCTCTGGCTCCTAAGAAGAGAAAGTGGCTTCAGCTGCAACCCTTTCCCCAAAGTTCTGGCCTTTGTCCACAGGGCGGCAGGCTGCTGGCGGGGTTAGTGGCAGACAGATGTGGGGCTCTGTTCCCAGGACGCCTGTCACCCTCTTGGGCAGGGCCTCTGCTGCAAGAACCCTCCACCGTCCACTGTGGTGTGTGGTGACTGGCTACTTCCTGGTTAGGGGCTTGGGTCAGCAGCTTCCCCCATCCCCTCCCTGGCGCCTTTAGACCTCTCTTCTGTGCCACCAGTACCCCATGCATGGCGAGGGCTTTTCTGTGTCCCATGGAGGGACAGGGTGGCTCTAGGCCGTTAGGGATGATGTTGGTTGGCCTGACCTTAGGGGTGGCAGAGAGAGGAGAGCATGAAGGAAAACTAAGCCTGAGGAGATAACAAGGGGGGCTTCTTCTGGGTCCCCTAGCCCACCTCTCCCAGTGAACCAGGACACCCCCAATCCCTTAGAGAGGCCCTTATTTTTCATGCAGGGGTGGGAGTTGGGAGCAGGATCGCTTTGGACTCCTTTGCCCACTTCCTACCCCACAGGAATCCTATGCCAACGTGAAGCAGTGGTTGCAGGAGATTGACCGCTATGCCAGCGAGAGCGTCAACAAGCTGCTGGTGGGCAACAAGAGTGACCTCACAACCAAGAAGGTGGTGGACAACACCACAGCCAAGGTGAGCAGGGCTGGGCCAGGGCTGGGTGGGCTGGGCCCATGGCCCCTCACTGCCCCCTGGCCTCTCCTCTCCTCTCTCCCCTCGGCAGGAGTTTGCGGACTCTCTGGGCATCCCCTTTCTGGAGACGAGTGCCAAGAATGCCACCAACGTGGAGCAGGCTTTCATGACCATGGCCGCCGAGATCAAAAAGCGGATGGGGCCTGGGGCAGCCTCCGGTGGCGAGCGGCCTAACCTCAAGATCGACAGCACCCCTGTGAAGCCGGCTGGTGGTGGTTGTTGCTAGGTGGGGCACGCCAGGTGGGACAGGAGGGGCGGCGCCTCCAGATGATGCCCCAAGGGGGCAGGAAATGCCTCCCCCACCCCACCCCTCTCTGGGGCATTTGAGTCTGTGGCTTTGGGGTGTCCTGGGCTCCCCATGTCCTTCTGGCCCATCTGCCTGCTGTCCTGGGCCCTGGTTCTTTCAGAGCCCTCAAAGGAGGACCCCCCCCCAGGGCTTGTGACTAGGGTGGGGCATTGCTCTGCTGCTGCCTCTAGGTAACTTTAAAGACCCCACCACACACCTTGATTTGGGATGAGGACTCCTCTCTCTCTGTCCACCCTCTCCCCACCCCTCAAGTATGCTGCAGCGGGTTTTTTTCCTTGCCCTCCCCCACCCCCTACCCCAAGCTGAGGACCTTCCTGGTCTCTACCCTAACTGCAGTTGGTGCCCAGGTGGGGCCAGGAGTGGGGCTGGGCTAGAACTCAGGACAGGTGGGGGCCACGAGGTCGATAGCTCACCCTGTCCCCTCCCTGCCTCCCCCACCCCTCCCACACTCAGCTCTGCTGTCCAGCTGCGGCAGGGCAGAGCACCGCTAGGGCAAGTGGGCGGGCAGCCTCTCTGGGCCTGTGTCTTGAGCCTGAGGGAGCCTGCTTCTGCCGCCCCCTGCCCTGCCAGAGCCAGGCCCAAGTGCTGCCTGCCCACCGTGCCCCTTTGTCCCCAAGGCAGGCGGAGGCAGAAGGCCCACCGTGCCAGAGGCGGGGCACCAGCCTTAACCCTCACTCTGCCAGCCTCTCCCCAGAGGCAGCACATCTGGTTAATCCTTCCCCCTTGGAGGCCTAAAGGACAGCTCCTTCCCTGCATTCCTGCTTCCAGAGCGAGCAGCCAGGGTGGGGGTGGGGTTCCTGATCCCCCTCCCCACCCAGGGTCCTGGTCCCCTGCCCTCTGGCACAGCTGCTTGCTGCAGAAAAACAAAAGTTGGTCTTTACCTAAGAAGCCATGTCCTCGTGCTGTCTCTTGCCTATCCCACCCCGTGCCCTGCCCTCCAGCTTGTATTTAAGTTACTGGGCTGCCCCTCAGGGTACCCCATGCCTCGATTCCCCTCTGGTGTCATGTCAGGCATTTTGCAAGGAAAAACCACTTGGGGAAAGACGTGAAAGGACAAAAATAAAATCAATAAATTTCCACTGGCCCTCGGGTGAGCCGAGGGTTTTTGCAAGGAAGTTGCTGGTGGCTGTGTGTCCTCTGTGCCCACCTTGGGCTGGAAAAATGGGGCTGGGGATCTGGGCACAGGGGTGGCCAGAGGCCCTGGCTGGAGTTCTGACACCCAGGGTTGCTAGTGAAAGCCCTTGACCCATATACAGGGGCCAGGAGAGTCTCTTGCTGCGGTGTGTCCCCATGGACCCAGCACTGACAGGGAGGGAGGGAGGCAGGCAGGCGGCCATCATAGACTACCAGGTGAACTGCCCAACACCCACACAGTCACACTCGTGATGTGGCAACCAGATCCCAGGGTGCCCCATCCCACTTGGCCCATACACTCCTGCTAGTGAGCCCCCTCTCTTGGGTTGCCTCAGTTCAGGCCAGATGTCTTTTCGGCTTGTGGCAAGTGTTTCTCCCTCAAGCTCTCTCATCCTGTCCCAGGCCACGATGACATGTATTTGTTGTGTGAGGCCGGGTATATCCCTGTCCCGTGGTTGTGTGACCACAGGGGGCTCGGTTGTTTTGGGAGGGGACTTGCTAGAAACATGCGTGGGTCTCGCGCCATGTCCGCGTGGTCCTGCGGGCCCGACCAGGCACAGGGGGCTCAGGGCCCCGCCCAGCCCCGCGGCCCCGCCCCCGGCTCCGCCCCGCCGGCTTCGCGGGCTGAGAGCGGAGCCGCGGGCGAGCGGGCGCAGGATGAGCGCTCGCGGCCCGGGCAGCCGGCTGCGGACGCGCCCCCCGAGTCCCCAGGCCTGCGCCCCACGCCCCCCGCGGCCCCGTGGCCCCGGCCCGGGTTGCGCCTTCCGCCGTGTCCATCTAGCCTGCCTCGCCAGAGCCCCGTGGGCCATGCCCGGCCGGCCCTGAGCGCGGGCCGGGGGGCGTCCCCTTGCGCTCGGGCCCCGCGCTGGCGCCCCCCGGGCCGCCCGGCGCAGGGGCCATGGCGTTCACCTTCGCCGCGTTCTGCTACATGCTCACCCTGGTGCTGTGCGCCTCCCTCATCTTCTTTGTCATCTGGCACGTAAGGCCGGGCTGGGGGCGGGTGACGGGGCGCGCAGGGCGGGAGGGCTGGGGGTCTAAGGGGACACTTGGGGGCCTCCTCTCTACTAGCCCCTACCCACAGGCTTTGGATAACCCCCATCTCCGGCTTCTTTCCTGGGGGCCCCGCTTTCTTCACCGCCCCCGCCTGTCTGTGGGTATGTCAGTCGGTCCCTGACCCCCTTCCCCTGCCCCATCCAGACGTGTGATGGGGGCCGGAATTTTGCAATTTTTGCACCTTCTTCCCCTCCTCCTAGCCACCCTCCATTCATTCAGCCGCCCCCGTTTGTCCATGGGGCAGTTTGTCTGTCTGTTCGCCATTTCCCCCCCACCCTTTGTGGGTTTTTCCAGCCAGAGTGATGGAACCGGTTGCTATGGCAACTGCATCTGTTTACAGGACCCACAGATCTCAGAGCCTATTAACCCCTTCCCAGCCTATCCCCCTCCCTGACCAAGCAGGGATTGGTTCTGAGTATCCTCAAAGTCGAAACCCACCCCACCCTCCCTTCCCAAGGGCTCACTTTAGGCTTCCTTACCCCTTCCTGTCTGGGCTTCCCCACCAGGCTTCTTCCTCATTCTCCAGCTTCGCTTCCTATTCCTGCCCTCACCTGCCCTCACTTTCCTCTTTGTCTTTGGTCCCAAGTGCCCCTTAGTCAGTCCCTCACCCTGTCTGTCCCCAGAGGGGGTCCCTTGCCTTCATTCTCTCTCAGGGCTCTCTCCTCAGTGGCACCTCTGCCTGACTCCTTTTCCCTCATTAAGTGACTATCAGTTTGGCCCCAGTGCATTGTTGGGGGTCCCTACCCCCCTTTACTGCCCTCATCCTCCTCCTTCACTCTGCTCTCGGCTGTACACAGCTCTCATCGCCTCCCTAGCACCCTGAGCTCACACCGCTGTCATACACCTCCTTGATTGTCACCCTTTTGGGGGCCTTGCATCTTTCCCTTTGCAATCCCCTTCCTTCCTTTCTCCACTCCCAATTGCCTCACCTGTTTATTTCCTGGTCTCCCCACTTCCTCTTTCCCTTTCCTGGGAACTGCTCCCTGCTCGGTGATCCTCTGTGGGCTCTGAGGGCCTTCTCCGTTCACCATTCCTGGTGACTTTGTCTCCTATCGGGATTCCAAGCTCTGACTGCCCACCCCACCCCACCCCCCGCCCTGCTGTGATCAGCGAGCCCCACAGCACCCTCATCCCCTTCTCCAGCCCTGCCTCTCTCAGACTTTGTCTCTCAACTGTTTCTCCTTCCTCTCCCTCTTCTTCTCTGTTTCTCTTTCCCTCCCTCCATCTCTCCACCCTGGTTCATCTTGGTGTCTGTCCCACCCCTGGTAGCCTTAGTCCTACGGGATGGAGGGTGGAGAAGGAGGGCTGTGAGCCGAAGGACTGGAAGGAATTGTGGGCCATAGTCCAGAGAACAGAGCCAACCAGCTCTTGAGGAAAAGAATAAATCCTGGAATTCTACACTGGGCCAGGCCACACAGCCCTCCCAGAGTCCCTGTCCTCAGCAGCATCTCAGCAATTACCCCCCTCCCCATATACTTTAGTGTGGGGGCCCCCAGGGGACCAGGCCCTGGGGCTCTGCGAAATCCAGGATAAATAAGACTCAGGCTGTGCCCAGTGAAGTGCCCACTGTGAGAAAAGACCCAAGACTTAAAAGTTAACATTCAACAACTGTTTACTTAGCATCTGCTTTGTGTCAGTACTGTGTTGGCCTGGTATTTAGCTGTGTGATCTTAGCTAGTCATTTGTCCTCTCAGCCTATCTACATCAGAATGCCTGGAGCAGGGCCTGTTAAGGGGGTTGAGGGGCTGGAGGTGTGGATCTCCATCCAAAGCTGGTAAGAACTAGAACCTTCCAGCACAGGACCCCAGACCCCACTGTCAAGCCCTGCTTATTGGTAGGCAACCCTGGTGGTGAGTGACGTGTGTCAGCTGTCACCGTGGGGGATTGTTTGTTCTGGGGGGGGAGGAGGGGGGACTGAGTCAGCGCCAGGCAGCCTGTGGGGTGGGAGGCACGACACCCGCCGCTTGCTGGTGGTGCCAGTTCAGGGGCAGACAGACGGCACCCCTTCCGCTCCCTGCTGGACCTTGTTACTGTGTTTGACAGGCGGGCAGCTACCCAGAGTCAACCAGGAGTTGGGGGGAGGGGACTCCAGATGGCCCCAGCTCCCACCAGGAAGCCCATGTTCTCTCCCTCTGAGCCGTCTGGGGTCCAGAATACTTGGGGGGGTGGACCTACCCTAGGGTTGGTACTGAGGGAAGGAGAACCCAGCAGGCATCTCTGTCAGTTCCCCTCCCCCAAGTCATCCCAGGTCCATTCCATCAACCCTTCAAATACCTGCTTCCCCTGTGGGGTCACCATCCACTATCTTGAGCCCCTCTGCCTTCACCCCACACCCAGCCAAGTCCTGTGGATCTGGCTCCTGACAGTTCTTGAATCCGCTCATGCCTCTTCATCCTCAGGGCCACTGCCATCCCCTTCCCAACATTCCCAGGTCTTATTGAACAAGTCACTTAACCTCTGTCTCTTTCCTTGTCATTAGGTTGTTACGAAGATTAAGTGAGTGAATATGCATAGAGTCAGAAGGGCACTGGCTGTTTTGGCTGTTAACTATTATTTTCCTGTTCCCACCAATCTGAAAGCATCAACCTGAATACGCTATGCTGCTGTATGCCCTCCATGGCTCCTCATTGCTTTGGGGCTAAAGTTCAAGCTCCTGGCCCTGGCCCCACTGCCCTCCAGCTGCATCCTTCACATTTCCCTCTGTTCTTCCTACTCCCCCTCACACCATCCCTCGAGCGCCATGACCCTCTTTCTTCCGGCCTCTGAGCCTTTGTACTTGCCTTTTCTTACTGCTTGGACCACCCGTCCCCCATTAGTTCATCAGACTAACACCACTCAGACAAGCCTTGGAATCCACCCTCATGACCCCCAAACCGGATTAGGTGCCCAGCACAGATCACCTTTCCTGGGTCCCTCCCCTCCCCATAGCCCTGATCAACCTGGAGAGTCACTGTAGTTCTGAGCTTGGGGGCCCTCAGAGCAGGGGCAGTGTTTCCAAGGCTCTGGTCCCAATGCCCGGCCCAGGACCTGGCATAGCAAAACGGCCTTCTTTTGAGATGTTTGTGTGGAGCTGTAGTGGACATAGGCTTGAGCTGGACATCAGGTCATGAGGGTTCCTTTCCAGACTGTCAAGACTGCCGTGGGTATTTGGACTGGGCCCTGCTTCTCCCTGGACCTATATCTCCACCTTTACAACCAACTCTTATCTGGTCTGCTCCCCATTGTATAAATTCCTACTCCAGAAATTTCCTCACTGAAGGAAGTGTGTGTGTCTGTGTGTGGGCGGGGGGTCTGTAGTTGCTCTCCAACCCTGACGGGCACCCCCCTCCCCCAGATTATAGCCTTTGATGAGCTTCGGACTGACTTCAAGAACCCCATCGACCAGGGGAACCCAGCGCGGGCAGTAAGTGATACATGTGCTGTGCCGAGGTGTGTCCGTCCGTCTGTCTCTCCATCTGTCACGGGCAGGGGTTCAGGTGGGGGTATGGGGAGATAAGGGTGGGGGTGGGAGCATGCCCCTTTCTTTCTGTTCCCAACCCCAGCAAACACCTGGCGCAGGTTAGGGCTTGGGTTCCTCTTGGCGGGGCAGCCACTGCCAGGCCTGTTGCCGTGGAGACGCGGGTGAAGGTACTCCATGGTGACGGTCACCATGGGGACGGCACGGCTGCTTTCCTGCCATGCTGAGGATGCCGCAGCCTGCTCTGGCACCCCCCTGGTGGCCATGTGCGGGGCAGTGGGGAGCGCGGGAGGATGGCCGGGTGTCCCTAATCCCCCCTCCTCTGCCTTCTCCATCTCCGCTTTCTTCTCTTCCTACAGCGTGAACGTTTGAAAAACATCGAACGTATCTGCTGTCTACTGAGGAAGGTCAGTGTCAGATCTGGGGTCAGGGTATCCTTGCCCAACTCTGCCCCCACTCTATGACCACAGTCCTGATCTACCTCCCCTTTGAGCCTGTGCGATCCGCTCACCATGTGGGCGGAGGCAGGAAGTGAAAGGCTTTTCTAGTCCTGAGGTCATGGTGGTGGGGCCTTCTCAAAGCAGTGGCATTCCTAGGGTTGGTGGTGTGACAACCATCAACTGGGCAGGGCCAGCTAGCAGTCCGACCCCTAGTGGAGCAGTTCAGCTCTGCTCAGAAAACCTCAGGTTTCCTGCACCTCCTCTTCCATTGGCCAAGTTGGGGCACCCTCCCCTCTGCCATACCCAGTGCACATGACGGGTGGCCTCTCCTTATGGGGCACTGGCCCACCCACTGCCACTGCTTGGCACCCTGTCAGGGGGTGCAGCCCCCCCCCTCAGTGACACCACTATACCAAACCCCAGTTCCCCTCTGGGCTCTGAAGCAAACTGGGGTCTATCCTGACACCAGGTCACTGACCTCCCCCTCACTCCCCAGCTGGTGGTCCCAGAGTATTCCATCCATGGGCTCTTCTGCCTGATGTTTCTGTGTGCAGCAGAGTGGGTGACACTGGGCCTCAACATCCCCCTCCTCTTCTACCACCTCTGGAGGTGAGGGAGCCACAGTCTCGAGGAGGGGGGAGCTGGGGGGAGCTGGCGCAGGGTCGGTGGGGAGCCTAGGTGCTGGGCACTCAAGCCCCTCCTGCCTCAGGTATTTCCACCGCCCTGCGGATGGCTCTGAGGTCATGTATGACGCCGTCTCCATCATGAATGCCGACATCCTCAACTACTGTCAAAAGGAGTCGTGGTGCAAACTGGCCTTCTACCTGCTCTCCTTCTTCTATTACCTGTACAGGTGAGGCCCACCCATGGCAGTCATTCCACTGTGGCTCCATTCCAGGAGCCATGGGCCCCCAGGGTCACTGTGTTTGCCCTGGAGTGCTAAGGTGGGCAGCTGAGGGGCTGCGCTGGCTGGGGATATGGCTCACTACCTTGTCTTTCTGCAGTATGGTTTATACGTTGGTGAGTTTCTAAGGGGGAAGCCGGCCAGGGAGCAAGCCCAGAACGGACCGGACGCCTGTGCACCCCCAGCCCTGCCCCTTGGCCGCAGAGGCCTCAGCCCCGGGGAGGGAGGGGGCACTGGTGCCCCCAGCCTCTCAACCCCCAAAACTGCTGCTGCTGCGGGGACCCCCCCCCCGCCTTCAGAGCCCTCCTCCTTGGACTAGGGCTGGGCAGAGCTCCATACAGGCCAGGGGCTCCTCTGCCAGCCAAAGGCATGGCAGTCTGTCTCAGAAGGGGTGGGCCATCGGGCCTTGGCCACTTCCTGGGAAACTTGGGCCCTGCCATGGGGCAAGGTTTGACTCTGGGAAGTCTGGGCCGCCCCCCTCCATCTCCACCCTGAGGCTCCCCCTGCAGGTGGGGGGGTACCCACACCGGGAATGAGCAGGCTCAGCAGGGGGCAGCCCACTCCTAGTCTGCCCTCCCCTCCCAGGCTCTCTCTCTCTCCAGCCCTCTCCCTGTCTCTACTCCCTACCCCCCTGTCTCTTGGACCTATTTTCTATGTTGCCTGGAGGAGTCCAGCACCCCCTCCCCGGCCATTTGTGACAAAATATGAATAAACTACTGCAAATATGTGAGGCCCAGGTCTGTTCCTGAGAGGTCGGAGAAGGGATGGGGTAAGGAGGCAGGGTCACTAGTGGGGAAACCCCAACTGAACTCCCAGCCAAGTGAGCCTGGCCCCTCTCAGATGGGCCAGAGGTGTCTGAGGTCTCCTTGGCTCCTGCCCTTCCTTCCAGGCTCCCATTCTAACCCTAAATACACACAGCAGTAGCTGCTGCAGACCTGTCATCTGCCCCACAGGCCCAGAGTCACCATCTCCACCCCCAGGGGCCCTCCCTGGGCCCAACTCCCCCATGGGCTATGCAGAGGCTCAGGGGTGCCAGCAACTCCTCAGGCCCTAGGAACGAAGGTCAGACGAAATCAAAGGATCAAATCTTCAATGTATGGAAAACCCAGTGCCAGAGGGGGAGCAGGGGTCACCGGACCAGGTGGAAAGTCAGCCAGTATATGATAAGGGGCTGGAAGGCTGCTGCCCCCAGCGTCAGGTAGAGTTGGAGGCGCTGCCGGGGCACCGGGCCCCCCACACTGTCCGGACTCAGGGCTGCTGTCCGCAATGAACGCACCTGGAAGAAAAGAGAGCTGAGGACGATGGGCCAGGGCAGGTGGGCCCCAAGTCCAAGGCCAGGGGAAGAGCCCGACTCACGATGAAGTACATGAGTGCAGAGGAGGTCCAGGCCAGGGCCACGTAGTAGCCATCACTGCCAAACAGCAGTCCTGTGAGCACACTCAGGATCATCCTGTGAGTGCGCAGGAGGGGGAAGACTGAGGTCACCAGCCAATATCCCCATGGGTCCAGACCCAAAGAAATCCAAAAGGCCAGGACTCAGCCCTGGTCCCAGCTCCTAGCCCAGTGACTCGAGACACCCCCAGCCTTCTGAGCATCACTACAAGGGATCATCAAAAAGTTCATTGAAAAATGGAATGAAAAGAGAATGGAGTTTTTCCACCCACTTTTTGAAGCACCCTCGTATACATTGGTCCTCAGGAGACTGCTCTCTCAGATGGAGAAGAATCAGGCACGCCTTAGCCCTCAAGGGCAAGGACAGTGACCTCGGTGGTCCCCCTCCTGAGACTGAGAGGGGGGCACATTTTGAGGCCACAGTTAGGCAGGCCCCTCCCTCGGACCAGCCCCCCAATGGCCCCCCGGTGCTCACCCCACGTATTTGTAGCCGCTGTAGGCCAGCAGGTGGAAGGTGCTCAGCTCACTGTGCACGGTGGCCAGGTAAAGGCCCAGGAGAAGGGCCAGCACCTCCATCACCACCCATACCAGCGCCGTGCTGGCACACAGGCCCAACACCTCGGGAGAGAACCTGTGGTCATGGGTGGGGAGAAGGTGAGAGATCTGGGTCTGAGGACACTGACCCCAGGAGGTGGAGGGAGGGAAGGTGGGGAGAGGCTGGCACAGACCTTTTCTGAATTCCCAGAGCCATCCCAGCCAGCAACACGTACGTGATGAAAGCCATCGCTGCCAAGAGCCAGAGAGATACCGTCAGCGTCAGCCTGGCCTCCTCAACTCCCTTATGTGGTGACCAATAGCTCCCCACCTTCCCCCACCTTTCCTTCCCTGTATATCCCACCTCCACTCAGCTTCCCAGTGCCCTGCCAGGAATGATTCACCCTGCCTGCCCCTCTCTTCCATTTACCTGCTACCTGATCTTTCCTGCAGGACCACCCCCCTTTCCTGCCACTGTACTAAGAAACTCATTCAAGTTTCCTGCTGTCTCAGAAATGGGTTCATTGGCCAAGGCCACTGTCCATCCTAAGCAGGCAGGGGGCCACCATGGTTTCAGGTAACAAATACAACCCTGGCTGCCCTTGGAGGCAGGGCCATGTGACTGACCTTCCCTCAGCCAATGTCTAGTCGCCCTATGATACAGAGGACTCCAGGTTTAACTTGGAACTGTTTCACGTGGCTTGGAGCCAGTAGGGACTGGACCAGTCTGTCCTCTGCCTCCCTGTAAGTCCTAGAACTGATGTGCTCATGGAGAAGGTCCAGTGTCCAGAGTCAGGAGGGCAGCCTCTCCCCAACGGACTGTTGGCCTCAAAGACACTTGAGTCTCTCTGAGCCTCAGCTTTACAAGTAAAAGGGTTCAGTTCCAGCAGCACACTGGCTATGAGAGTTCAGCAAAGCTGAGGACAGGAGACCTCTGCCCCTCCTGGGCCACTGGGCTAGCTGCCTGTCCGTGACAGACTGGCAACTCCTTGGAGGGTTGGACCCTGGCACACCCACCCCGCCTTCAGTAGTTCACTGTATTCAATACGGGCCCAGCCATGTACATCTACCAGGAGGCAGAGTTCACCAGCCATGGTGATCTGGGCAGACGGACCACTGCCATGTGAACAGGCAAATGTGGGAGCCCAGCGGGAGCAATCACCTGCTCAGGAGGCCCTGGAAGGCTTCCTGGAGGAGGGGACATTTGACGAGACCGTGAGAGATGAACAATAATAATGACAAGATTGCAGCCAATTCTTCCTGTGTGCCAGGTACAATTCTTATAGGTTGAGGCTGTTTTTCACGCTCTATAGAATTCAGAGTAACCTGCCTAAGGTCCCCAATCAGAAACTAGATCTAAACCAAGGGCTCCACACTAGGGAGACACGGTTAAAGCCACAGGAAGAGTTCCTGTGGGCACTGAAGGAAATGCGCTCCTTGCCCATCCATCTGCCTGGCAGACACCACACACACACTATCCCCAGAGTAGACACTGAATCCACAGACAAGCCGCTTTCTTCCCAGCGCAAATCCCCTCCAAGTTCTCCAGTCCCGCTCTGACACTCACAGGGGATGTAGAGGTCAGGGGCATTGAGGTCTTGATGCGGGGGCAGAGGCACATCACGACTGTACTGCAGTTCCCAGTTCTGGTCAGGGTAGAAGACAAGAAAAGGAGAGAGAGGGGTTTGGATCTTGGGGCAGGATGGGGGTGACAACAGGGGGGCCTGCCAGTTCACGTGGTAGTTAGCTCACCTGATGTGTGTAGGGGAAGACCAGTAACCCTAGCTTCTTGGCCACATAAGCTGTGTCCACGGCAAAAAAATACTTGAGTTTTTTCACAGACACAAAACGATGCAGCTAGGGAGGCAGGAAGAGAAGGTTGTGGGCAGGCTACAATCCAAGCCTCAACATGCTACTGTGTGCCTTCCCTGAGGGCTGCTCAGAGGACCAGGGGGGGTGTCCCTCCACGTCCCAGCCCTGTCTACATATCCTGCCACCCTTGCCCTGGGGCGGGCCACACCTCCTTGTGCACCATGTCCTTCCCATGGGATGCGACAGAGCTGCCATAGGCCATAGCCATGTTAGCCATTGGGTCTCCCAGCAGTTGGCTGACACCGAAGGCCACCTCGGCTCCTGGGACTGGGTAGCCCCCTGGCTGGCTGTAGTAACCACCACTTGTGTCATCGAAGAGGGGAGGGGGATCCGGAGCTGCCCGGGCCCTGTGCTTGGAGCCTGCGGGATTGGAGGTACCAGAGTAGGTGACAGGAATAGCAAACAGGAGCCCCAAACCCGGCTCCCTCCCCAGGCTGAGCAAGCAGTCAGTGTGGGGAACTAGCCCTGGAGAAGAGCTTTAGAAGGGGACACTCTGTGATAGATTCTAAATGTAGGCAAAAAGTTGAAGTAGTGCCTTAAAGTGGCTGCCCAGCTGGGAGTTTCTTCCTAGGGGAGTGTCCTGTGAACTGAGCCACGGAGAGTAAGCGGAAGTTTGCCAGTAGCTTTGATAATGGAGAGAGCAACCCCGTATGAATAAGGCTGCGAGCTACAGAGGCTACAGCTGGTCCGGAATCCTGGGCAGTGGTCGGGAACCCCACATGACAGAAAGCAAGGTCTAGAGACAGACCCCGTTCATGCCCAGGTCGGTCTGGGCATCCCAGCTGGGCTGTGACCGCCCAGATCTCAGAATTGAGTGGACAGGACGAAGTCTGGGATGCGTAGCCGAGTCTCTAGGGGCAAGAACTCGAATGACCCCGCCGCCCTGGGGGGCTGGCCCTCTCCCCTCAGGGTGAGCGGGCCGCACAGCCGACTCTACCTGCCAGCCAGGCTGCGCCCCGCTCGCCCCGCTCCCCACGCACCGTGGGCTCCGTAGCCCGAGTGATACGCCATGGCCGCGACGCTCGCTCTCCCCGAGGGCCCGTTGCGCAGCCTCGTGTGTACAAATGCTAATCAAGCAGCTGTTCCGCTCCTAAGGCATCGACCGAGGTTACCTCTCAGTCCGACACGTCCCTACCCAAGCTGACCGCGGACGCCATTTCCGTGGCATCATCCTCCGCCGCCTGCCATTGGCTCTTCCACTGCACCGCCTTGTCCATCTCCTCTCCCAATTGGTTATTGGCCTTTCCCTCACCAAAGCGGACTAGACAGCAACTAACTTCCGGGTGTGGAGAAGGCGGAGCGATCTTGAGCGCTCTCGGATTGGAGTGTGAGCTTGGAAGTCCTCTGTGGGAACAACCAATAGATGAGCAAAGTAGAAAAGTGTTGCGAATTCCTTCTGCGCCTGTGCAGTGGGGCACGTAACGATCGCCCTGCCACGACTACACCAGGCAGAGGCCCGGCGGAGGGAGGTGGAGGTGGAGCACAACAACTACTCTTCGCTCGCGTGACGCACTCTACCTTGGAACGAAGCGGGCAGGCTCTGACCAAGCCCCGCCCCTGGGGGCTCCTGCGCTTTCCACTACCTTTTTCGATCCTGGCGCGAGGCACTGGCAGCCCGGGAGGTGTTGGTGGGAGACCGAGATAGACAGCGACGGCGCTGTACGGCGAGCCCTGAATGCTGGCTCCTCCCACCTCCCATCTTTCTGTGCAGTCCGGGTGCTGTCCGTGTTCCGGTGCTGAAATGCCCTCCCGCCTTCGCCGCCATCCTGCAGATCCTGGGGGGCCTGGGTCTCGATTCCACTAGCTCCTCCAAATTTCGCCCCCCCCACACACTACTCAGATTGAAAGACTAAGGTCCAGAAGATCCTAAGTGCCAGAGAGTGGGTGATATGGTCAGGATCCTGCACTGGACCTATCCCGTGGTCCAGACGACTTGGGAACGAAAGTGTTTAGATCTGCCTCTTGAAGCTGTGGCCGAAAGTCCTGAGTCATCCTCAGCCTTGTGGTCTTCTCGAAGTGAAGTCCCCAAGCCGTACTCGTGGTTCCAGGGCCTCTTTCTCCCCACCCAGGTTCTGACCACCCCCACCCTCCAGTAGACAGGCCTCAGGGGTCTCCTTCATCACGGATTTTCTGCCACCACTTTCTTGGGTGAAAGATCAGGTCTTCTGCGATCTGAACTGTGTCCAGTTACACCAGGTGACCTTCCTGTTGCCAGTGCCCCGCGCCAGGATCGAAAAGGGTAGTGGAGACGGCAGGAGCCCCCCGAGGGGCGAGGCTTGGTCAGAGTTCAGCCCACGTGGCCTATTCACAGTGTCCTCTTCACCAGGGATGCCCTTCACCCTCATAACTGTTAGTCCAAAACCTAGTTATCCTGTTAAGAGTCAACCCAGCCCTGACTCTCAGAGGCAAGCGGGAAGACAGCCTGACCTCGCCTAGGGTGGGGAACCGGCCAGGGTTCTAAGCCCTCTCTGGGTTTCCCCGCTGTAAGTTCCATAAAGACAGCTGTGGCTTGTATCATTCTTGAAGCTTTGTCTTTCCAAAGCCAAACACAATGCTTTAGTACGAAGGACACTCAAAAACATTTATGCTCAATAAATAAACAAATGGATGAAACTCTGGGCTAGTCCTTTCCTCTCTACAGTTTATCTGGATGTTGAATCAGATTGTCGTGGAGATGATCTTTTGCCCTTTGCTCAAAACCAAACCAAAGTAAAAAACCATGCAATTTACCCACTGACTGCCTACCTGGGGGCACAAGATTCAGAGGCAGGGGCAGGTGTGAGGGTCTGAAGTTCTTGCTGACCAGAACGGAGCATTGGGGCCTCAGGTAGCTGGGAGGTGACCCTCAGCTTGCAGGACAAGTCCTACATCACTATACTGGATGATGAATGTCTTCCTGTCACCATTTCTCAGAGTGCTGGCTCAAAGTCACACAGTCTAGGATCCACGGTGGTCCTGGGCCCAACATGTCTGTCCTAAACAAAATCCAACGCCTCACCTTTGCCTATACAAGAGGCTCATCACGGCTTCCCGAACAAGTGAGGCTGCCAGGTGGGGAGTCTGGAAGGGCTACTCCGCAGAGGAAGACAAGGGCCCTCCCACCTTCCATGTTAACCATTCTCATTTTCAGCCAGGTAAACGCAGGCCTCTGGTAGTTTTCCAAGGTCGCCGCCCAGTGTGCGCGAGGCTGGATGAGAGTCCTGGAGTCCGGCCGCAGGGTCCGGGTTTCTCGGGGGCGGG